CAAAAAATCCAATACTACCTCTAACCCCATATTTACAAATCCCGGTAAAAAAACTCTATATTTACAAATAATTAAATTACTTAGATTAAAATATTTGTTAAAATTGATGGGAAATACTAAATAAGTAAGAAATATACATTTTTAAAGAAGTTGATGATAACAATGTAACTTATACAAAGAATTAGCCCTATCCCGAAGATTATAACTTATACAGATGGCTGGAGGAAGTAATTTATAATATTTTAAAAAATTTTAGTAACTCTTTTAACACTTGAAATTTTGTTTTGAAGAACTATTTTATAAAATATGCGGATAAAATTGTTAACAAGATAAGATTATTATAAACTCAAAAAGTATGCCTTCTAATTCTTATAATAAGCACCAAAAACATGTCTCATGATAAAATATGTTTTGTTTTAAATAGTAATTTTTGTCATGTAGTATTTCTTACTAAACATAAGATTTTCTAATTAATTAATCAAACTCTTCTAATTAATGATTTTTTTATTGAGAATAACTTTGATATTACACAATACATAATTAATTTTATTAAGTTGTATAAAATTGTTGTAGGTAGTATTATTAATCAATAAAGATAAGAAAGAGTACTAATTTATAGTATTTTTGGTGAAATAATTTATAATATTAATTAGGAAAAATGACCACAAATACCATATGAATTTCAAAAGGACAAATAAGGCATCCAAATAAATAAAATGACCGAAAAAAAATCAGGTACCAATATGAAATTTGAATTTTTGGCCTAAAGACGAAAATGCCCAACCCTCAAAATAGGTTGTAAAACCCATTGACGAAGCAGTATAACTCTCACTATGAAAGCTATAAATCTCATTATATGTTTTGTAAAATTCAGCGTGGAATTGTATTGTTTTTTACAGAAAAGTTGCCTAGTTCCTCAAAATAGATTGCAAAACCCATTGACGAAGTAGTAACTCTCACTATGAAAGTTATAAATCCCACTGTGTTTTGTAATAATAAGGGCATTTCGGTCTATAAACTAAAAATTAAAATTGCAAGTTGGTTCTTGATGCCTTCTTTATTATTTTGTTTATTTGGATGTTTTATTTATTTTTTTAAAATTTATATGGTATTTTGTGGTTATTTTTCTCATTAATTATATTAACAAATTTTCTTATTTATTCTTTTTAAGAAAAGAGTCACATTCAAGAAAGGGACAAACTGTTGCAGTGTTTGGCCTCACCCGCATTGGAAATATAAATGTCTAGGTGCTCTTCACGAACCGCCCCACTCTTCCATCAACGTCACCGCCATATTTATATGAGGGTTAAGGGGGATGACTGCGTCAAGTATTTTCTAAAATGCATCCTATATCTTAAAATACTATCGTTTATCTTATTTATAGCCTATAAATAATATCTTATAAATAAAATTGAAGGTAATATAATATATTTAGTATTATGAGGTATTTTTTAGATATATTTAACACTTTGAAATATTTTTTTATATTGGTACTGGATGCACAAAAATTTATTTTTGGGTGCTGGGCAAAAAAAAAAACCTTCAATTGCTAGATGTACTAAAAAATATTTTAAAATATTAGACAAATTTAAAAAAATATTTTAGAATTTGAATACACTACAAAATATTTTAGAATACTAAATTTATCTAAAAAAAATATTTTGGATTACCAGTGCACCTTATATCTCTTGATACAATGACAAGCCTATTCTTTTTCCCCAAACGAATTACTACAGTTTACAAGCATGTTTTATCTGTACACAAAAAGAAATTAATATAAATTTAATTTTATATATTAAAATGTTATACAAAAAATAATATTGATTTAAGAAATCAATAATGAAAAACTACTAAAAAAAACAGCAAGTTTTATTTGGCATTCCGAAGCTTTAAATAAAGCATGTTTGACCCTACAAAGCATGATCTCATTAAGGGGAAAAAAGATCGTACTGTTTCATTTTATGTTTGTAATTTAGGCAAAATAAGAGTCTCCCATTTGACTAGCAGCAATTCAGAAAAATTATTCATACACTCATTAAAAACACAAAACGTATTTTACAAAATTTATTCTTCCTACGAACTGACGTGTGAAAAAATTTATTGTTAAATTTACACCTTAACCCAAAAATAAATATTATCATGATATTTTCAAATAAAAATACCTGAACAATATATTTTTTATTTTAATTCTTGAAATAAAATAGTTTTATATGTTTAAAAAATTAAATAATAAATTGAAAAAATTCAAATGATACATGTTTAAAAATATATTTTTCATATATGTATGTTTAAGAAAATTGAAAGAAATATATTTCTCATACTTGTGGAGATGACTTGGTGAGATTGGCTGGAATGATGAGACGGCATGGTAAATGATACTAATTCATAATAGTGGGATAAGAATTTTTCTCCCTAAAAAGTGTTTGGATATCTTGAAAAGTGCTTCTCAAAAGTACTTTTCTGTAAATCGAAATAAACTCTCCTACATATTTATCTTGTAGATCGTGAAATCACTTCTGAAACCATGATTTGGTTTCTATCCAAACACCTCCAAAATCTCTTCCAACTCAAAGGAACAAAGTTGAGGAAAAATGTGGTGGTTCCATCCCTTATTTTTTTCCCTCTTTCTTTTCTTCTTTTCACATTTTCCCTCTCATTTAAATTTTCTTGTATTTTTTTTTCTTCTGTAACTTTTCTTACCATCCAAATAAAGGGTAACCATGGAAGAGAAAAACTTGTGAAGAGGGTATTGCCATTGCCACGATCACTTTTCATAGGCGTTGTAATATTTGTCTCTTACTTTTGTGTTTTATATGTTTGATGACAACAAATGCTGCGACAACCAATCAGCAAAAAAAGCACTCTTCCTGGCTTCCTCCAATAATTAGAACCCACTGTTCAAGTTCCCTCCCCATAAATTTCTGTGTCATTCCGTAATGCAGGTCATGTGGTAAATCACAAAGTGACAATATTTTAAAACAGTGTGCATTCGCCATTCTAATATTTTTATAGCACATTATTTAGCATATTAATTTTATTTTTTTGATGCAACTAACAACCTCATTTATTTGCTGGTAAAAAAAAAAACCTCATTTTATTTTTAATGATCTGGCATTCTAAATATTCGGATCATACCCACTGTCCTAAAATTAGAATACTAAATGTAACTAAAAAATGATATCAGAATACTGAGTATACTAAAAAAATAAGACCAAAATACAGGATGTATTAATAAAATAAGATCAGAATGTTAGATGCGTCAGGGAAAACATTAGGATATTGAATGTATATGGAAAATAAGATCGGGTTACCCAACTTATTTTGTGCAAAAATTATTTTATTCAATTTTTTATATTTTTAATTTTAATTTTGCTCTTAATCTGCAAGTTTTACCAACTTCACACTTCTTCTCTTTTCACGTCTTCCGCTTCAAAAAACAAGTTGAGTCACGACAAAGTTGAAGTAAACTGGGGTCAAATTAAAAAGTATGGCCGAGTCACGTCATTTAGTCAATTTTTCATGAAATTATAATTTCATGATTTACATAAAATTTTTTTCAAGAGCTTATTGCATGTCGGTGAAATTTTGACATAAAGCATGGTGATTGGTTAAAATGGTGAAAATGTTTTATACTTTTATTTATGAGATATATAATATCTATTATGTCTATGCAATTATTTTTCATTATCAATGGATATTATTATTGTTGTTAAACTTTTTAATCTTATCAATGGTCGAATATGATTTATTTTGCTGCACATAAGTATCCTCCCATTGCTGTCGTATTTGAGATATTGTTTGATGTTAAACGTGAGTACTTTTTTTAATAGAGATATAAATCTTGATTTGTTATATTATGAGAGATTAATCTTTTTTCATTAGGTCAAATTGGTCAAGTGTAATTTAAGAGAATGCTTAGGCTTAGCTATTTATTTATTTATCTTTTTTTATTAAAGCATAAGTATCCTCTAATAAGAGGCAATCCTATTCGAGACACTATTGGGTACTAAATATGAGTACATTTTTTAGTAGGGATTCGAATCTTAATTCATTATGTAATGAATGATTAGTCTCTTCCGCTAGACTCAATTTGTATTAGTTTAGGGTTAACTATTTAAAACCAATGTTTTAAAAGCCGGACCGGAGGTCGAACCAGAAAAATCAGTGAGTTATGGTTGAAACCGTTAGATTGGTTAAACCATTCAGTCGAACCGCTAATATAATAATTAAATAAAAATAATATTATATAAATATATAATAATGCATATATATAAGAATAAAACATCAAATTTTCAAAGAACACTATAATCTCTGAGATAGTTGACAAATTAAATTATAAAGTGATAAAATAATTTTTCATGATTTTAGATACAGGTATGATTAGTAATAAAAAATCAAAAGAATGAAATTAAAGATATAAAAAGTTAATTTTAAAAATACAGTAAATTTTTAATATTTATCCAGCAGATATGATGTGATCCCACAATTAATTCACTCAGCTCTCTTCAAAGTTAATATTAAAAAATTAAAAAATAAATAGTATAAGTGGCAAAAATAAATAGATAGAATATGTTATATGCACGTTTAACTCATCTACCTCTCTTCAAAGATAACATTGAAAAAAGAGGTGATACTATTAGGTATTAGCCTTCAAAACCGGTTCGCGGCTTGATCCTGGCTCGCGGCTCAATAGCCGGTTCTTGACGGCCCAATGCGGGCTAGCCCTTTGAACAATTTGACCGCTTAAGACGAGCCGTTCTTCTTCCCGGTTGACGATCCAACCTGTCTGGTCCGGCTCCAAAAACACTGTTTAAAACCCATACATCTAGAGCAAGAGGTTTCGGCCCATTTTAGTTTTGCTCTTGTGGCTGGGTCGTATAAGCCCATTGAACGGTTTCGCCAGAACGTTCAATTATTTTATGTGTGTGCATGTACTGTTGAGGGCCGTCCCATTAAGAGTCATACTGCTACTATTCTACCGTCTTCCTCCCATCGCTCTTAATCGAAAGACCTAGGGCTTTACCTTGCTTCACTGCAACTTGCTGAAGCCATGGATCCTCAACCTGAGCCTGTAAGCTACATCTGTGGGGGTATGTTAACTCTCCTAGTTTTCCATTTGTTTCTCAGTAAAGTTTTTTTGGTAAAAATACAGGGTGTGGCTGAGATTCTTTTATGCTTTTGCATTTGAACCTGTTTTTCTAAAATTTTTTTGTCTATTTTTAAAATTTGTTGGGTCTTGAGCCTTCGCTTTTTTTTTTTAATTTGTTTCCTGGACTTTTTGTAGATTGTGGGATGGAGAACACCCTTAAACCCGGCGACGTGATACAGTGCCGAGAATGCGGTTATCGGATTCTGTACAAAAAGCGTACTCGTCGCAGTAAGCTTCCGCCATCTCTGGACTTTCTATTGTTGTGTTATCTTTTTCTTACAGCCATTAGGTCCCGGGAAGCAAAAGCTCGAATTTTATTTTATATCCATGGCTGATATTCGTTACAATGTCACTCAAACATGCATGCCTGCCCACCTTACAGAGTGAAGAGAAATGCATACCCAATATATAATTTGTTGTTGTAATTCATTAATTGTTGAAGGAATTGAGTTATATATTCTACAGTATATACATATGCGTGGGTGCTAATTTTGTTGGAGTGGGACTTCTCTTTGGTTCTCTTTTTGTTTTTTTATGAATACTGTTGTTTGTTTAGAAAATATTACAAAGTGGCAGGTCTTTGTTGCTAGCCTCAGTTTTTAAGATCTGCTGGATCATCCGTAATTCTCACAAGACTCAAATTTGGTTTAATGTCCACTAAAAGGAAGAACAAAGAGACTCTAATTCATAACATTCAGTTGGCAAACATTATGATGTTATACATTTGTGCCCGTTTTAATAATTGAAATTTGGGGACTTGATGAGGGAAAATGGGGAAGGTATATAAGACCTTAAATGGCAAAAGGGAAGAACAACAGCGGTTCCGATTCATATGGGTTTGATCCTTGCTGCACCTCTTTCCTATTCCTACTCCCGGGATCTTGTGCTTCCTTTGAAACCAAATGCAAAAAGGGAAAAAAAAAGAAGTTATGATTGATTTGGATAAGACTCCCCCCACCCCCCCAAAAAAAAAAACAAAAAAACAAAAACGAGTTGGCAAATGCTGAAATGTTTTGCAGGCGCAGATCTTACCCTCAATATGAGTTGTGCCATTTGGGCCACTGCTTCTCGGTGGACTTAAGATATTAAGACTGGCATTTTGGTATACATATCATACACTGCGTCTGATTGTTAATGGGTGCTACCTCTGGTCCCTACTATAATGACGTTATGCATGTTTCATAATATAACATATGTTGTCTAAAATATTAATTTTTCCCACCTAGTATCCCTAACTAATTATAAATCTTTCTAACTAATTAGTCAAACATTTCTGCCTAATGAGTTTTAGTGAGGGTAACTTTGAGATTTTACAAGAAATAAATTTTTACTAACTTTATTAACTTATGTAAAGTAATTAATTTGAGCTTATAAAAAGGAGCTGAGGTAGTATGATATTACATCCAGAGGCCCTATAAATAGGTTTTTTATTTAGGGAAATCGGATGTACAATATCCACTTACCTGAAACTCAAGGGATAACCAGAACTGGCCTGTTTAGTGTTTTGGACTTGGCCTCCTTATGTATAGGTTTACATACATATTTAGCTCTCGAGTGATCAGACAAGGAGGGATATATTGATATAGAAATAACACTTGCCTTTGTCTTTGCCTTGAGTTTCCTTTTCAAGAATCACGGCTGATTACTATGGAATTGTTTAGCTTTAGCATTCATTTTTTCCCTAAGATGCAAGCTCGCTTAGAAGTTATTACAATGGAAGCCTTTAGGCTGTCCCTTTTTTCTAATATATTATGTAATGAATCATCTTTATACAGTATGTCTTCATATCTGATGAGTCTTTTACTTGTGCCAAAATGGTTAGGCTCAGAATATATTGCTTTGTACATTGGATCCCTTCTATTATTTCATTCGTTGGTAGATTTATATTTTGTTTAATATATTGTAAAATATACAAAATATGATATTTTGTCTCTTTTCTCACCCTCTTTTCCACCAAGTTTTCTGATCCAATGCATTTGGTATTAGTTTTTTCTGTTCAAACATGTAGCCTTGCATTGGGTACTACTACTAGATTTTGAGGTTAGCCATATAAAGATATTTTTTTTCTCGTCTTTATTTTTGGCACATATGCAGATATAACTTTGCTGATTCTATATTTTGCATCTCTTTCATGTGATATTATAATGTGTGAAGATAAATGCTAACTTTTCTCTATTGATTCAGCAGAGAATTTTCTGTGTATTAGCCCTTTGCTGTAGTTGTTGCAGAGATTCTGTTTTTCCTTGAAATTTCTGCATTAATTTGGGTTGTGGAAGTTTCTACTGATCAATTGATATTATCCAATTAGCTTAAAGCAATTCAACTGCGAGCAGTTTAAGGAACTGGCCCTGTTTTATACATTGAATTCATATTTATTTGGTTTAGATATAGTTCTTGTCTTGTGATTTAATGACCTCAAATATACTGGTTCCATTTACTCTGAGAGAAGATATGTTTTATATGAAGTATGAATATTACGGCAGATTCTGGTGTATTGCCTCCTTGAACCATAATTTTCAATCCTAGGCTAAAATTGTGATCTTTTCTAACTGTTGCCTATACGCGCACGTTATCTACAGTGCTCAGCCAAATTAATTATTTTGTGCAGTTGTTCAGTATGAAGCTCGCTGAAGCAAACTGTCGCACCATGGCTGGCAAATTGCTGGAAAAGTATCGCATCATGGTCTTGAAGATGGTTATCAGTATGCTGTCCATAAAATTGTGGAACAAACTGATACTTGAACTTTGTCGTTGACTCTGCTCTTGTGGTTGCATTTGTGTAATGATTGGGTATTACAAGTGCCATTTTGTGGGGACTTACATATGGTAAAAGAAATTGAACTGTGAAGTGTGTGGTTTTGTTCTAGATCTTATTTGTGCAAAAGTTAGCAGTACTTTCATAGTTTCGGAAAGCTTAGGTAAGAAGAAGCTAAATGGCGCCATAAGAGGATCAACGACTGGGCAACTTTCAATTTAGAAAAGTCAGAACATGCCCGTGTGCTCCGTTTGGATGAAAGTAATTTATTGGTTGTCTTCTAGTAATTCTAGGCAGATATTTAACCTGTGGCTAGGGAAGACCACGTTGTTTGACGTGGACCTGTCTGTGTGGGAGGCCAGCCCTGGAACATGAAAACTACAAATGGAATTTACGCCAAAGGATTCTCAAACAAGCAACAGAAGTTGATCAATGGAACAATAATGTTTTTTTGGACCAAAATGAATGGAACAATAATGAAATTCTTACCCCAGGCGCCACAAAACAGAGTGATCAAGTCTTGCTTAGCCTTATGTATTCACTCAGGAATACGGAAAGACGATTAATCTTATTAAGAAGAAAAGGACATCGTTAATCTGAATATTTCGACATTCATAAGACGTATTAAAGGGAGAAAGATTTTTAACTCGATTAGGGCCTTCAAATCTAGTCCAAAACCCTTATGGATGTGGATAGAATGGGTTGGGACGACATTTCAATGTTTTTTTCCTCGTTTAAATGCAACGATGATGTTATATGGCTTGATAATTTAGAGTAGGAAAGCCAAATTTGGGTTTATTGAAGTGGAGAATGGATGTTCGAATTTGGAGATGTGTTTATATATAGTATTTGATAGTGTTTTGAACAAGCTACCTTTAAGAAAAATTATATATATACCTCGTAAAAAATAATTTAGAATAGGAAAAATGACAAATATGGATCATAAAAATTTGTTACGACACTTTAATAGTTGATTTGCAAACAACATATTTTTATAAAAGTACTTAATTTGGGATTTTGTATTTTTCATTTTTTTGCCATTTTTTTTAAAAAATAACTGGTGTTCCTGTGAAAATAGTTTAAAGGCACAAATTTGTTTGGAAAATTTCCATTTAGAAGCGTTGAGCAATCATAAGTTTTCTTGGGTTCAATATTACCTTGGAAATTTACAATTGCAGCCCCCCACCCTTAAAAATGATAACAACTAATATTACGGTAGGAAACAAAATTGCTGTAATTTTAAACTTTCAGAATAAATTCAATGCAATACTCAAATCTAACTTTGTTATACATGAACTGTATATAAAAGACAATAATCATTCCGGTTATAACTATAGAACAAGGTTTTAAAGATTTCCTTAGTGTGAAATTGTATATAAAAGACACTTCTTTTAAAGCTTAAAAACAGCATAGAGTGATAGTGAGTAAGAAGAACATTGGGAAAATACCCATTAATATGTTTTCAAGATAAAATCAGAGAATAAAATAATCTGGATGGAGAAATGGAGAAAATGTGTGTGCGTGTGTGTGGGTGTTGGTAGTCATTAATCAATGTGAACACAGGAAGCGTGCGGAGAAGAAGACGTGAAGACGTGCAATGGATTGCTATTGGCCGGTCAAGTCAAACCCACAAGCGGCTCCTCCAAATCCATTTGTTCAAAATTTAATAATAAAATGAGTCACAATTGACTGGGGAGATATGATTCCTCTGAAGTAAGATTAAGGATTGAGATATCTTGAATTTAAAAAATATTTTTTAAAAATGAATATCAATTAAATTTGACAATACTTAAAATATAACCGCATAGATAAACTTCAAGAAAAATAATATATCTATACAACATAGTTAATTAGGATATTTGATAATCTCAACTTGATTAGTTGTCACTTGTCACACTAGAGGAGCATTACTTCCACAACAACCTAGCAACTTTTTATTATCCAATAATTATTAAAGCTTAAAAGAGTCTATGCTTAGTTGGCCAAAAAAAAAAAAAGGAGTCTATGCTTATGTACTAATCATAGCGGGTCCCATACACTTGGGCATTAATAGTAATCCTAATTCCTAAGTCAAAAGGGCAAATAATAGGTCACTAATTAGGATATTTTAGGCATCTCCCGTAATTATTAGGCCATCCTAACCCCTAAGTGGGTTCTGATTTTTTATATTTTTTTCAAAAAATTTAAGTATGTAGTATTAATATATTATTATTAAATATTAGTTGTCTAAGAATAATGTCCACATTAATTAATTAGTGTTCTAAAGTTGCATTATGTCCAACGTCATGCTTGCCTACTATATGACAGATAATCCATTATTGAATAGAATTTTAGTTGGCGTTGTCATGAAAGGTGCATTCACACTTCCATTCACTTTTAAGGAACCATAATTAATGAGTGCGAATTTGAAATGATGACGCTGGTCCCTTGTTTAGCGATTTGATTCTTCGCGAGAACTCAAGTTAATAAAAAAGAATACTTCTTCCATTTTATTTTTGAGGTGGAGAAAGAAAATATTTTTTATTTTAAATATAAATTATCTAATTAAATTTCTTATATAAATATATAATTGTATTCTTAATTTATTGTTTTACGGACTATTATTTTCTTGAACTTATTAGTTCATTAAATAAAGTTGGAAGGTGATTAAATTTTAAGATAAAATTAATGAGATTTATTTATTTTTGTTTTGTTGAAACACCTTGTAAATAAAATCAGATAATTTACAGAGATTAAAATATTTAGTTAAGTTAATTATTTGTAGTTGTTTATGTTAATTTTTTTAAATTTTTTTAATCAACTTCATTTAGTGCTGCCTCAATGGTCACACCAAAATAGAAGTGAATGGACCGGTGTTGGATGATTAATGGTGTGTTTAGATTAGCGGTAGTAAAACTGATTTTTATTCTATTTGATATTTACAAACGTGAGTTGGAGTAAAAGTCAATATAGTATGATTTATGTTTAAATTGACATTTAAAACAAGTCAGTTTAAAAAGTTGAAACATGTTTGGATTAATAATGAAAAGTAAGTTTAGATGTAAAAGACTGAAAAGGGCATGAGGTTTTGTATAAGATTCACTTAATTAATTTGAAAATATTAAGAATATACATAAGTATTTTAGAGAGATATTTTAGGAAGATAATGTAACATATAATATAATCAAGTAATTTATTTAGTTTTGTTAATCTATTCAAATAATAATATTAAAATATTTATCATTAAATTTTACAATTTTATTTTTAAAAAACTAAATTTAATTATATAATATTATTATATTTATTAAAAGAATAATAAATAATATAAATGTGCTGTTTACGGTTGGTAGGGAAAAAAAATAAACGTGTTGGACTACGAAGGGACACGAAGGTAAAAAGATTAGTGGGTCCCACTCACCGCAACACACCTAAAGGCAAAAGTAAGAAAAAGTTGCATTGAGATAAAAATCAATTTGAAGCTACAGTGCGGGGGAGAAAAACGCAATCCTAAACAAACTTTTTTCTTCAAATAACTGTCTAACCATGTTTCACGCTTTCCAGGACACGTTTTGTAGTTTAAATGTTAATTAATCCAAACATAGCTTAAATGAGTCGATGCGGCGGAGTTAGATTTGCGGGTATGGCTGCAGGCTATCCAAAGCACTACCAGCTATTGCAGAATTGTTTGGAATCATTACTTATATTGGTTCAAAGGCTACCAAAGGATTGATCTTCGCTCAGATTGTATGAAAGCTATGAATTGACCAGCAGAGATTGTGACAATGCTGACCCTTTTTGTGACATTATAAATGAAATTTAGTCTCTACTTCGTAAGGACCCAAAGGTCCTAACCAGTCATTTAGTTAGATGAGATAATTTTTTTGCCAAACAGATAGCTCAGCTTTCACACTTATTGAAGTTAATTGTTGTATCTTTGATCACTCTCTGCATTTTAAATTTTGAGGTGGAAGTTGATGATAGAAACTTTTTTATTTTTTGCATTCTTTATAACCCTCTTTTAAGATAATTAATTCAATTATTACTTTAAAAAACTTCATTTAGCATGTGCAGTGAATATAATTATTTTGAAAAAAAAAATATTCATTTGCCGAACAAAATGGATTGCAAAACATTTAAGTTTGAGACTCAAGAATTAAAAAAGAAAAAAGAAAATGGGATTTATTTGACTCGAATTTAAATCAATTGATGACATCAACGTCAATTGATTTCCTAAAAACTTATTTTATCATTATTTTTCTAGTATTCCATCCGGTAAGAAACTCACCTAATACAATATTATTACTTGACCCATAGGCAATTAAATATGATCTAATCATAGAATGCCCTTTTTTTTTTGTTTGCCAATGATCTAATCATAGAAAGTTAACAATAAGTAAAATAAAGTACCTTTCCCCTGAAGCAATCTACCTCCATTTCCTCCCACCTTCAACTGTTTTTCAAGGGGGGAAAAAACTAAAACCACCTTTTTCCTTTGCTTCTGCACAATCATGAACATCCAAATATTTATATTGAAAAGAGCAAAGTAAGCATTCATATGGCAATGGAGATAATAACAAAAGATAAATGCATGAATTTGGCACATGGCTAATTCCTTTTGGAGATAACCAGCAAAGAACACAACCGCAAATTTGAAAGACAATTTTAATTTTAATTTTTTTTAAAAAAAATTCTGAAAGTAAGAGAAAAGGAAGTAAATTTGACTATGGGTAATATATTACATTTAAATTTATGTTTTGGCATTTGGTCTTTTAAAATAATTACAATTTTTAGGATTTCTTTTATGTCTTTCGTTCTAACTTTTTTGTTTCCCAAAATAATAATAATAACAATTTTTACAAAATGCAATGTTAATTAATATCTATTTAAAATCTAAGATTTATAATAAAATGCATGATTTACGCAATAAAAAATGGAGCTAATCTTTCCAAATTTCTATAATATATTAGATCTTAGAAGCCTTCTTATTTAAAATATACAATGGAACTTATCTTTCCACACTATACCAAACCTCTATGTTGTGAAAGTCCAAAAAAGAAAAGTCTTCACACTAGTGGAGAATTCACTATGACCCGCCATGGCAATGCATAATATCCTACTCAAAAGAGCAGCTTCATTACATGTGAAAGGCTAAAAAAAAGAAGAAGCCAAAATATAATATTCTCAGCACCTCTTATGTTTTATATTTTTTTTAGCTTTACAAGCTGTAAGATGCATGATTTTATTATTGAATACTAATTGACCTGCGTATTCTATTTTTTCTTTATTTCAAATCCTTAACTCTAATTTAAGATATTTTTTCATCATGCCAAACTTACCCTTTTTGTGTAAAGATCCATCTCACTTTTAAAATTTTGTGTAAAGAAAATTAATTAATTTTAATTATTTGTATTAAAAACTGCTTTATTAAAGAAAAACCTCTTTAATATATGAAATCATAAAAAGAATTGAGGAGAAAAAATAATAAATTTAATAAATAAATTAATTAAGATCTTATATTTAGAATTAAAAAAAAATCTTCGTTAAACCTTATATTCAAGATAAAGGAGTATTTTTGAATATAAAGTTGAATTTATGAAGTGAAGTACAAAATAATTACGTGATAATAGGTCAAATTTTCCACATTCAGGCCCACAAAGGTCAAATTTTCCACATGATATGAGCAATTTCATGATCGCATTCAGATGCATAACGATTATTTCTTTTTAGATGCCTTTGGTACGAGCCATTTGGAGGGAAGTTGAAGGATTTTAATATTTTTTCTTGTTTGGTAACACGCAGATTTTAAGAAGGGAGGGAAAATTAAAATCTCCCTTTCTCAATCTCTCCTCCAAAAATAGGAGGATTTGAAAGGAAATGGTAATATTTTGTCATGTTATGATCATTACGCTTATATTTATTTTTAATATTCCTATACTATCCTAAATCCTTTGTTTTTTGTCTCCAGACGCTGCTCTCTCCTTTGTACGACCAAATATTTCATTTAAAGATGGAATACAGTACAAGTTGTGGCTGAACATTACTTCAGTTTTCTTTTTAATAATATTTAACGTTGTAGAGTATACTAGAATTCTGGTATAAATATTACTCAATAAATGTTATTTACAATTCTATTTTATTAAACATTCTATAAAATTTGAAAAAATAATCTTAAATAAAATAAGGGTAAAATTGTCAATGTCAAAATATTTTTTCCTTCCCTCCCCTCATAAACCAAACAAGATAATATTAAAATTCCTCTCCTCTCCTCCCATTCCCTCCTTTTTTATAAATCTAAATAAGGTAATATTTAAAATCTTTTCATTCTCCTTCTTTTCATTAAAATTCCTCCCTTCACTTTTCTCTCATTGAGCCAAACAAGAGAGCTTTAATTTTTTTGCTAGTTACTCATGGTGAAGAGAATTGTAGGTAACCATTTATAATTCAATGTTTGCATCATACTTTGCAAATGCATCGTTGAATATTAAAGTATAATTTCAATTTATCATTAATTTAAATCATTATCACAAATTTCATGAGTATTTTATTTTTTAAAATAAATAAATCGTCCCTTTGTGTGTAAACGGCAACTTTGCTTACTATTTGACTTTCATTGACAAAAAAATTAATAACAAAATTAAAAATATCTTTAAAAAATTAGGTGTGGTCAAAAGTCAAACTCCGGCTCGTCTGACTTGGCCGAAATCAATTCCTTCTCCTTAATGATGGGCGATATTGTAGATTTTTAGTTGCTTGTTTTGACTTTTAAGAAATTAACGTCTCTAGAGTTTTGTTAAATTTCTATGAAATTCATATCGTTTAATTATTTTAATTTGAATTATTATTTTTAATTTTTAGATAACCTTCTTAGATTTTACTATCTCCTGTCTTTAATATAAGAGCTTGTTTGATTTTTATTTTGGTTCTAAATATAAGACTCTAATCCTCTTTGTCTCTTATATTTATCTTTTTTTTAAGGTAGTCCTTATAATAATGGTAGTAGTTTTAACTAATATATTTGATTTATAAAGATATTTTAGAAAATATAACATTTATTTATTACAAATAACTGACTAATTAGTTTTCTTAATATATTCAAATTAGTCAACTAGCTTTTATATTAAGAACTAGAGGTAGTGTATTATTTTTTATTCGACAGATCATTTAGAAAGAAGTAAGGTTAATTATTTTGAACTAAATAAATAATTTATTTTTCAGAGTTAAATTTTAAAATATTAAAAATTAACGAATTTATTTGATAAAAAGTACTATTTTTTTTTGTAATATTCTTTCTCTAAATGTATCTTCGTTTAACATTCAACTACCGGGTGTTAATAATTGATTTATTATTAAATACACCTTTTTAATAACGATAAAAAAGAAAATTATAATAAATACTTCAAAAGGTAGGTTGTTGTTTTTTTATCTCTGGCAAAAAAAAAAAGTTTGTTCTTTTAATCAATAAAATATTTCGAAATTTTCTCATAAAAACGACTGAGAGATTATTTCGTATTGAATTGTAATAGATATAATAATAATAGTAGTAATAATAATTATAATACTACCACCACCACCTCCGGTCCTAATTATTAATTATTAATGGTGGCAAAAGTATGCGTTACCCAGTGACGAAAATACTGGCACAGCACGTTGTTCCGTTTCTAAAGCCGAAAACGTTTACGCAAGCTGGAGACTGGCTGGGATCAAATGCGATTCTACTTTGAAGAATCTAATCCAAACAGGGTATCGTTTTCAAGATTCTTTGCATCTCTGACTCTCATTCCCACGGCCAAAAAAAGGTCGGCACTTTCATACTCTGCCTTTTTTTTTTTTGAATAAATAAAAAAAAAATCAGAACTTTTCCCGTATAAAGAGGCCAGGTTAGTGACAGAACACTCGCATGGGTTTAAGGGCCATTCTGGTTCTGGGTTCATCGTTATCAGTATCATCACCCCAAACTACGCGTTCTCCAGAACACTGTAGATTCTGGTATGAATAGCTAATTTATCATGTTGAGAAATGCATTTCTCTGATTATATATTCTGCTTGTGGGACCATTTCTGCTTGTGAAAACCATACCTTTCAGCGGATTCAAGTGGAAATTCTCTGAGATTTTGCTTCTTAATATCCTGATGTGCTTTTTAACTATTCTTGCTTCGGATCCTGTTAGAAGTTGTCTTGGGTTGTAAGAGTGATTTGCAATTAAATTTCAATTCTGAACTCCTGAAGGAGGTTAAGAATTGATACACAGCTAAACATGAGAAACAAATGGATTATTTTAGGTTTCGGCTAGAGTGGCTCCAGAGAAGTCATTTTTCTTTAAACAAGGACCACTTCGTTCTAGTCATTTCTAGTTTGGTCGCTTGATTTTCACCATATCATTGTATTTTTTAGAAGACTGGGTGAATAATTAATAATCTCCTTGCTTTTTCCTATATAGTATTTTGATTCCTGTGCGGCACGATTGCAAGTGAATACCTCATCTGCGCAAATTACCTGGTGCGTGCCAATTCTGAATAACAATGGCAGAGGATGAAGTTTATACAAAAGATGGAACTGTAGATTTCCGCGGAAATCCAGCAAATAAGAAGAAAACTGGGACCTGGAAGGCCTGTCCCTTTATTTTAGGTAACTATGGTGTGGTGTTATTGGAATGCAATATTTGATATTCTGAGATCCTTAAAGTTTTATGCTTCAATTAATTAACAGGAAATGAATGTTGTGAGAGATTGGCATACTATGGGATGAGCACAAATCTGGTGCTTTATTTTAAGAAGAGGCTGCATGAGCATAGTGCTACTGCTTCCAAGAACGTCTCAGATTGGAGTGGGACATGCTATATCACACCATTGATTGGAGCATTTTTGGCTGATGCCTATCTGGGGAGATATTGGACTATTGCTAGTTTCTCCATAATCTACGTTATTGTGAGTATGGTTTCTCCAGTACTGTACTTGATTACTTAAGCATAGGTTTGTCTCAAATATGGTTTTTCCATAATCTGGCGCTAATGCTTTGTCTCAAAGATGGTTTCTCCGCTGCTGCCGATTCGAGGTTGAAATTTTTAGCTTTGATATTGATCACTTAAGCATCACATATGCATATAACTAACTCAGGATGAAGAAAACTAACTATTGGCTTCTGTAATAAGGTTAATTACGTGTTCAAACTTGTAAAAAGTTAATAATAAAATGGGCGCATTTTCTCATATGAATATGTGGTAAGCAGAATTGTTTATGGGTTATGAATGGTACGATGCAGATATATATTTCATATTGATATTGATTCTATCTTCTTGCTTTAGACAGCTAAAAAAGATTCCCCTATGTACACAGGGAATGACACTCTTGACATTGTCTGCATCAGTCCCTGGCATAAAGCCAACCTGTCATGGTGAAGACAATTGTCATGCTACTGATGCACAGAGCGCAGTGTGCTTCGTAGCACTCTACCTCATAGCTCTTGGCACTGGTGGAATTAAACCTTGTGTGTCATCATATGGAGCAGATCAGTTTGATGACGCTGATGAGGTTGAGAAGGAACACAAGAGTTCTTTCTTCAATTGGTTCTATTTCTCAATTAATATTGGTGCTCTTATTGCTTCTTCTTTACTGGTTTGGGTGCAAGATAATGTGGGTTGGGGATGGGGTTTCGGAATTCCTGCAGTGACCATGGCAATAGCTGTGGTGAGTTTCTTTTCAGGAACTAGATTGTACCGAAACCAGAAGCCTGGAGGCAGCCCCCTCACGCGAATCTGTCAAGTCATTGCTGCATCCATAAGAAAGTACAAAGTACAAGTGCCTGAAGACAAGTCTCTTTTATATGAGATAGCAGATACAGAATCTGTTATCCAAGGAAGCCGCAAGCTTGATCACTCGAAAGGATTAAGGTAAACCAATCAAAATGAACTTTGTAATTGATTAGTGGGTTCATTATCAGGATTTCTAATAAGAGTATAATTAGTGGATTTTTTTTTTAACAACTCAATGACACGTGATTATGTGCTGATCTGCCAACAAAAAAAGAAAAAACTTCCATATATCTTATTTTTTGTTGGACAACATGAAAAACAAACCCAAGAGTCTTTACCTAAGTCTATCAATTGATTATTTAATGTTTTCTGTTTGTTGATTTGTAAAACATAGGGAAATAGTGATATAGTCAGCTTTCATGCCACCTCAGGTGCTGTTACTGAAATTTGGATGAGTATTGTCATTTGTTTTGTGTTAGCTTCATTGATAAAAAAAAAAGTATTAAAGAACAGAATATGACTATCCAATGTGTTTCTTGGCTTACGTGGTATATATTCACTTTTGTTGGATGTCTCAGCTTCTTTGACAAAGCAGCTGTGCCAGAGCAATCAGATAGTGTGAAGAGCCCAGCAAACCCTTGGAGACTTTGCACTGTGACTCAAGTGGAAGAGCTGAAAGCTATCATAAGACTGCTTCCTGTATGGGCCACTGGTATCATCTTTGCTACTGTCTATGGTCAGATGAGCACCTTATTTGTGTTGCAAGGGGCAACAATGGATCCTCATTTTGGCAAATCCTCCTTTAAGATCCCACCAGCATCTCTTTCAATCTTTGACACCATTAGCGTAATCTTTTGGGTCCCAGTGTATGATCAGATTATTGTGCCAGTTGCTCGAAAGTTCACTGGACACAAAAGCGGAATAACTCAGCTTCAAAGAATGGGCATTGGCCTCTTCATATCCATATTTTCCATGCTCTCAGCCGGAGTTCTGGAGCTCGTAAGACTTAGAATGGTGAGACGCCACAATTACTATGAACTCAACCAGATTCCCCTGTCGATCTTCTGGCAGGTTCCCCAGTATTTTATCATAGGGTGTGCAGAAGTCTTCACATTCATTGGTCAGCTGGAGTTCTTCTATGAGCAAGCACCTGATGCCATGAGAAGCTTGTGTTCTGCTCTCTCATTGCTCACTGTCGCACTTGGACAATACCTGAGCTCGCTCCTAGTGACGATTGTCACGAATATCAGTACCAAAAATGGCAGTCCTGGATGGATACCTGACAATCTGAACTATGGTCATATCGACTATTTCTTCTGGTTATTGGCTGTGCTAAGTGTTCTGAATTTGGTAGCTTTCCTGCTGGTGGCAAGGTTGTATAAATATAAAAGACCGGTTGGTCCTCTTCGCTGAAAACTGGGTTAAAAGTGCAGAGGCAAATAAGTTTGGGAACAAAAGTCCTGCTTTAGTATAGGAATGATAGTGTCCATATGAATAAGATTCTCTGAGGATTTGTTCTGTTATTTCAGTGTTTAGAAGTATGGCTTTGTTTCATTTTCGCTTTGTTTCAGTGTTCTGTAAGGCTGAAACAAAATTATCCATCTGATTTGAGTACTGGAGTAACAAAATATCGTTGAAGCATCCTGCTCATGTTAGACCAAAATTAGGGTTGGTGTCAAGATTGAATTATGTTCCTCTGTCCATTAGTATTTTATCCTCCAGTGTATGTGAGAAAGCTCATGCAAATTCATAGATTAGTTTTCAAAATGCTGCATGAATGGAACTGCGAGACTAACATTGAGTACGATATGTGTTATGATTTCTTTAAAAGTTTTTATCATAACTTTAGGCCCATTTGATTTTCTACAGCGGGAGAGATCGTATTGTAAAAGCATTTACTACCTCTGGTGCTAAGTATAAAATTTAGTCTATAATATAAATTGCATTACAAATCATATCTTATATTTAGAACTAGAGGTAGCGCATGATATCTTTTTGTGTTCCGAATATTTAGGATTAGAGGTAGTATATGATATCTTTTTGTGTTCGGATTGCTCCATAAGCATCATTTTTTATGGAAAAGTAAAATCACTTGCCACAGTTCAAATCATACAAAACGAAAAAAATAAATATTAATTTTTAAAGGGATAGATACAAACTAATTAAAGTGGTATATACAACTTTTCATATGTAAATAAGCCATTATGATATTAGGTTTTGTAAAACTAAAATAACAAATAGGGAAAATCACAAGTAAAGGCCTCCCGAATTACCAAAATTACGCAGAGGTTACCTGAATAAATAAAATTACCATGAGAGATCCAGTCCCATATTGTAAATATAAAATCTTAGTGAAATGTCTGAAATGCTCCTAAACCAAATGACAAGTTGACTATAAGAAATGACAAATTCATTTTAATGAATGACAACTTCAATAGATCAAATCACAATTTGGTTGAAAGTATGTCAAATAACAAGTTGACTATAAGAAATAATAAGTTTACTTTAGCAAATGACAACTTCAAGAGATCAAATCACAACTTGGCTAAGAGGCATTTCAGACATTTCGCTAAGATTTCATATTTGTAATATGAGATTGGATCCTTCATGGTAATTTTACTTGTTCAGGAGACTTCTGTGTAATTTTGATAATTTGAAGGCCTTTATTTGTCATTTTTCCTAACAAATAACTTACCCTTATCAGTTTATCATTATGTTAGAATAATTTCATTATTATGAATGGATTAGCGTTAATCAATGTCAAATTAACCACAAAAAATTTCCTATTCCTAATACTAAGCAATTTTTCATATTATATATTATAGCACTTTATTTGAAATGCATTGAGTGTAATTGAATAGATCATATTAAATAAAAACTAATTTCAATGCAATCTTTGTAACAAAAATTTAAGTTGTCTTTGAAACAGTGCTAGCAGTACTATAGTTTTACAGTAACCCAAAATGTTTAAATCAACAAGTTATTTATTAGTATGACAATATTACCCCAGAAATTTGCATTCCGGCATTTCCTTGGCAATTCCCCTGCATGCAGGTATTTATTATTATTATTATTGCCTTTAATAATAATCGATTTAGAGAGTGTTCGAAGGAGTGATTTTAGTGTTTAAGAAAAATTTTGTCTTGATTTAATTAAAATTATTAAAAAAAAACTGCTGTTAAGTAGTTGTTTTTTAACATTACTGCCTTCAACGAGGTGCCACCTACCCAAATTGACGGTACTGAAGTGAAGACGGAGAAGGCGAAGGAATTGCTGCAGCCTGCAAGTCACCTCTGAGGAATCGCAATCCCTGTCACACCAACTTCCTCCTCTCACGCCTCACCCAACATTCTGTTTATGCCGGCAGTTCATCCTCGGAGGCATCCCAGTGGATCAAGTCGAACCCAGTCTCGTTGTTTGTACCTTCAAAGTCCCTCCCCGTCTCACTGTAACATGCCTCATCCTTCGATTCTTCCTTCATAGATTTCTGTTTTCTTATCCCTTTTTTTTTTTTTTCAAACTATTCTACTCTTTCATAATGCATTTCTCGCATTCATAATTTTTGCTGATTTACCACATTGGAAAATGATCATTCATTTGATTGTTAGACTCAGTTCAGTGGTTTTAGTTCTCAATAGGAGTGTTTAGGCTGGATTTGTGTTCTTTAGTGACTAATTGCTACTGTGGATATGCGATAATTCGTGTTGTTCTCTGCAATTTTATTTGTTACTTTTGCTTCTTGGTAGGAAAAGTTGCCGATATAATGGGGAAATCATTCAGAATAATGAGTAATCTCCTAATCCTTAATGAATTTTGGCTGTAGGTACAAGTCTCTTATGGGACAGGAGTTACTGCTTTTGCAATTTTATTTTATTTTTTGGGTTCCCTGAAATTATTTTATGAAAATATTTGAGAATCTGAAACATATTGGGCTCGCTTCTACAGGACAGAACTGGGAAGTTGGCTAACGCCTAACGGTGCAATAGCTAACCCTGTAGATGAACTTGGAGGTGCCGTAGCTCATTTGGAAGGTCTCCCCTTGGATGTTTCTGTTGACATGTCCATTTCTTATCTCTCAAATGCCCATGTTAATGCAAGAATTTGCTGGAAACTTACTTTTGGTATATGTGCCTTTCAATTTGAGGTCAGGTTTTACTCTCTTTCTATCGTAGTTATGTTGTGCTAGTGAAACTGAAATTGGGGAGAGTATGCAAGAGGAGGAAGAGTAAGAGGCTTAAAGGGAAAATCTGTGAAAAGTTCTGTTTGGAAGTTTGATTTGAATTACAGGGGTAGTCACTAATGGCCTAAGCTTATAGCGAGATTGACCCGCAAAGGACCTGAATTTGAGTACCAGATGGGGGAAGAGTAGGATATTTAAATGTATCAAATTATGCAAAATTTCTTGGTACATGATAATTTTTCACCCCAACTTCACTCCTACCCAGCATACCCTATGCAGCTATGCTAGTCCCTAACTTTTTCAATCTGGATCCTTAACATTTATGCATTCCAGGAGAGAGATATATCAGAATGTAGCAGTGATGTAGGACAAGGGAAAAGAGGGAGAGGGAGAAGGAGTAGGAGGGGAATAGGAGAAGAACGGAGGAATTAATGAGCAAAAATGTCTGACAAATGAGGAAGCCCTAAGTTATTCATAAAGCCTAGATACAAATTATAGAATTAATAATTAATAGGTTAAACTAATGTAACTAAGATAAAATCCTAATTCAAAATAAAATAAAGAAAGTCTTGTATAAAATAAACCCTAAACTCTCTTATCCCTATCTTAAGTTTTCAATTTTCCATCAAGTGGTGTTTGGATCCTTATCTGATTTTCGTACCCATGATTTTGTTTCTATCACTCCCAATATACTACGTGTATTTACTAATGTAAATGTAGAAAAACCACATTGTTGTCAATCAAAAAAGAAAAAAAAAGCCAAAAGAAAAAGAAAAAAAGAAAAAGCACATTGTTTTTAGATTGTTTAAGTGATCCACCTGACGACTGTGAATGTTAACTTGTTCTACGTTTCCTGTATAGATATGCTATTAACTCTTTCTTTGATATTTCTGTCGGTAGGGATTTGTGCATCACTATGAGTTCTTGCTGTAATTGTTTGCTTTATCTTAGTCTTGGCTTTTTGCACCTACTCTGTTATGAGGTTTTAAGCCCTCATTTCTAGTCATTCCTTCTGCTACACGCACCGACAATTATTTTATTGATATGAATCTTCATGTGGAGGTTGCCAGACATAGTTTAGCGTGTTTTAATGTAGTGATCATATGCGTGCGTTAACTGTTGCACGATGAACTAGACATGACTTCTAGGCTCTTGGGACGGAAAGGAGGTTATTCTGGAACAGTAGTTCACTTAAAAAATAAAGCAACTGGAGAATTAATAGCAGAAGGTCGTCATTCACTATTCGGAAGACATGCGAGCAAAATGTAGTTCTCTTGTGGTCTGGTAAATGCATGTGTGTATATATATATATTTTTTGACCTTTGATATGTTCTGAAAGAGTACATGGGGGGAGGCTTTTATACACTGAAGATAAAAGTTAGAAATTTTTCTCCCCGTGAATTATAGGTTTGTTTAGTTCCTTTGAGCATGAGCATATACTTAAATTATTGTAACCCACGCTTATATTTCCTCCGTCACATCCTATAAGAACTCAAAGTGTATCAAATTGATGATTTTATATATATTTTTTTAAAATTGTCTCTCTTTAGTGTTTGATCCAGTTTTCTTTTATGTATCGTCGGGATGTAGTTTTTTTTTTTTTTTAACATTTTAAACATGTATAAATTTGGAGTTCTTATTCATGAATTAATCCAAGAGATATTAAAAAAAATCTCTAATCTTGAACTAAACTCATCCTTCAACACATAATCATATACACAGATTAATTACTCTAATTAGAATATACACATGTAATATACATATATACCCAACAAAAAAGAACAAAAAAAAAATAGTAAGTTGAGATTATATTGTCACTTTCTACTCAAAGTTTAAATGAACAATAATATTGTGAAACTCTAGTAATCCATTCAAAGAGTTTAAGACCCAAAGAGGAAAAATTCAGATTCAATACACGACTAGCAGAAGTTAATATATGAGCAAGCACAACAACCTTATCATTGAGGAGGCCACTTGTCATTAAACTAGTTTTTCATAAGAGTGCTCATTCATCTTTGAGTATTAAACTTTTCTTCGTACAACAGTACCTACATTAGGTGCCCCATTTTAATTTATTTTCTTCAATTTATTTGGCCCCCTCTTAGATGGTGACCTCCTGTGACAAAATTGACCCATCCTAATTAATTTTTTTAGTTAATATTAACAACTCAGGTAAAGTGATGATATAGTCCAATCTTTATCATAGCGCTTTTCAGAAATGGCCTGGACAATCACGATAAAAAAACTCAGATAAACAGCAAGCTAGCTAGTAGGAGAGCAAATAAACGACCCTTAGATACATGCAACTAAGAAATGTTGCCAATGATTATCAAATGAGTCATCCAAGAAACACACAATTTTCAATTACATTATTAGAAAAAAGACATTTAACGATACAAAATAACGGCGGTTAAGAAGAAAAATGACGTAGAAAAAAAGGCGGTGGTATTTTTGAAAATAAGTGAATTGACGCTTCACTTTCTACAGTGGTTATTAAGAAAACCGCCTGGAAAGTGCTTTTAATGGCAGTTAAATAAAGAACTTCCGTTAAAAGTTCTTTCCATGGTGGTTTTCTTAATAACCGTCATAGAAAGTTTTAAAATAAACAGCAATAGGGTTCAGTTGTACTCATTTTCACAGTTTCATATCCGTACGCTGTGGTCCCCCTCTGTCCCACAACCAACAAATTGCTATTACTAGCCATTCCCCCTCTTTCTCGCCTTTTAAACTCTTTCATTTTACTTGTGATGTCTTATCGCCGTCCACCGCTGTTTCAACACTCATCTTCTCGCATTTGAATAGTCTCTGCTGAGTGAGTATCCTCTTCTTTCATTCTTTTCAATTTTTCTTGATTTGTTAGATGTTTTGACCATAAAAATATATTGTATTTTAAATGGGTTTGTTAGTTTTATATTATGGTTGTCTTGCATTGTTGATTGTGTGTTTTTTATGTGCTTGAGGTGTTGATTGGTGGCATTTGGTGTGAGAAAACCTCAATTCCTTCCTATATATGGCATTAGAAAAATGTTTAAATGTTTGAAGTTGATTAGTTTTGAAGTTTTTGATTTTTTTAATAATTTTTTGATATTTATTTCGAATTTTTTTGGTAATAAACTTAAGAATTTAGTAATAAATAATCTGTTTAGTGTTTTATAAATTTCTTTTTTCCATTATGAACTTTGATTGATGATAAAGTGTTGTTTAAAATTTCATTGTAAATGGATATCATTTGTATCCCCGTTTTGGATTCAGAAGTTTTAGCTTTAAGAATATTTATTCATTGAATTTGTTTGAAATTGAATTTTTATTTTTATTTTATTTGTTATATTTCTTCAAATTTATCCTGTTTTTAATCTGTTTATTATATTGTTAAGTTAGTTTGGTTGACTGATTGATATGTTTATTTTTGGAATAATTTAGGATTTGTTATAGGAAAAATTAGAATGGGGAACCTAAAGGGAATAATATTTTTATAAAAACTTACTTCTTTAAGTATGTGTTTTAATTTATTTTTACAAAAAGCTAAATTTTATACACAAACCTATTTTTATTTTTTTTCTATAACTTTAAATTAGAAACAAGTGTTTGAAAAGAAATTATATTAAATTAATTTAATATTTTTATAAAAATTTATGCATGTTGAAATATGTTATGATGAATAGTTTTAATTTTAATTAAAATAATTTTTGTTTAACTATTTTACAGAACTTATAGATATTTGTTTGATTTTATATTTTTATTAATATTTTCGTTCATTCACTGTATATAACAATTTTTTTTTAGAAATTACTTAATCTAATTTTTAAAAGTAATTATATATTTTATTTTTTATTATAATATATTTAATAAGACAAACATGGTTGAGAAAAAAATAGAGTTAAAGAATTTGTCCTCATCTTATTGGTTGAAGAAAATTTTATTTTTGATTAAAAATTTTGAGTGCATTTTGTTTCTAATTTAGTGTTTGTATATTTAATTTTTTTATTTATGGTCCTTTTAAATAATTACAATTTTTTAGATTCTTTATAATAAATAACTTTTTCTTGGTCCTTCATTTTAATTTTCCCTTTGTTATATATTTAAGGGGAAATTCTATCAAATTTTTTATTTTTAAAAAAGAGACATTCTCTTTAATTTATGATTAAGTGTTAGTCAATTTTAATTTATTAGCTAACATTTAATCATTTTATTATTTCAATATTTGAATTAAGGAGTTAACTAGAATTGAGCTTGACAACTATGCTCATTAACTCGATAGAAAAATAGATCATAATTAGATGAAAGCTAAGAGAATTATCAAAGAATATGAGGATAGGGTTGAAAGGTTTTTTAAGTTTGTTCAGAAAAATACCTCTAGTAAAAGAGATGGATTGTATTATTGTCCTTGTGTCAAATGTTTAATGTCACATCCAGCATTATGATAATTAGAGATAAGAAATATTCTCAAATTATTGAGGATTAAAAATAATAAGGAAAAATCAAAGGATTTTGGTGAAAAATAATTACAGTAATTTTTCAAGCCAATTATAGGAAATTGACTAATTAAGGAAAATTGGTCAAATGTAAATAAGGAAAAATATTTTTGAGCCTTGAAAAATTAAAGAAAAATGAGGATAATATCTTTTGAGAGTTATATGAAATTATAAAGTTGGTTTTATGACCAAATTACCCTTAGAGAAATTATGAGAGAATTAAAGGGTGATTTAGGCTAATTAAGGGATTTTATTTGGAAAATTCCAAATAAATATTTTTAAGGGGAATAAAATTCCAAGAAAATTCCTATGAGATCCTAAGGAATTATAAGGAATTATGGAATTAAATGGAGACCCTCAAGTGCCCAAGAGTTTTCCAAATAATGATGAAAAGTGAAAAAATCCCTAAAGAGAAGGAAATTAATTTTCCTTTTTATTTAAATATTAGGAAATTAATTTTGAGACAAAGAGGGAAATTTGGGAAGATAATAATGAGGAGAATAAATT